GCTCGCTACATGGCCATGACTGGACCGCTGAGCTTCTGACTAGAGTCAAGACCATGTCTCTCTGGTAACACAAGGTCAGGCCGGTATAGGCACTTCTGTGAGCTGTAGCTCCAAATTGACAGTTAAGCAAAATATTCCGTTTCCTTTGCCAGCTGGAGCAAGCCCTTGTTTTCAGCTCCTTTGCTATTCAGCAGACCATGGATTTTTTCTAGGAACACCAGCAGATGCTGATCACGAGGGGCTGCATGGTAGAAAGTGGGAGAATGCTTGGGGTCTAAAGAACATTCTTATTCTCCCACTCCCTGGGGAATGTTGCTCCCTGCTACAGCGGATACAACCCTTTTCAGTCCATGACCCGCTGAAAAAGTACAAGTTTTAACTGCCATTCCCACAGGAACCATGCAAGAATGTCGGGTAGGTTTTTTTTCCCCCCAAGTTGTGAGATGAAGGGATAAATATGTAAGTGCTTTTTAAAATAAGAGCTATATGAGGATTTGCTAATTCCTTTCACATGGGCCACCAAGGAGCCAGTATGTGGTAAATCACATTCAGCTGTGTGCACTCCCCCTCTTCTGCCTGTGGCCTGGACTTGGACTGGTGCCCTTAGAGATGAAATGCTGATGCTCATGCCTTGGGCCATCAGACACGATCAGATGTTAGGTCCTTCTTTCCCTGTTCCCCACCTCCGTGTAGAACTCCCAGTTCATGACAGGGGAAGCTAACGGGAGCGCTTTGTTCCAGTGCTGAATAATGTGCACTTAATCCATGAATAAATACGAGGTTTCATGAGAGCTGAGATTAGTTTTGCGTAGTCAGACAGCTGCAGTTCCAGCACTAATAGCTGTTCTCTGTGTAGCGCCATTTAGCATGACTATAGGTGGTGGTGTAATATATGATTCTTGTGTCATCTTGGGGACTTGAATGAAGTAGTGCCAGCGTGCTTCCTGGCCTGCTGCACCAGGGCTAACCTTCATCTTAAGTGTGGTAAACGTAGCAGAGAGAACCACATAGAAACGGTGCTGGAAGTAACATTTAACGTTAACAATGCTGAATAAAGGGGAGGAGAGAAATGCTAAGAATAATTCCTGGAAGTAAGAAAGTATTTATTTTTTAGCTAAAACTTGCCTTTGGGAATGTAGACATATGCTGTGCATTATACAGCAGCCCCACTTTAAACGTTGCAGCAATTAAGATTGAAAAGAGCAAAGCAAGACTGAGGTGATTTAACAAGGAAAAATTACTGTGTCGTGCGAATGATCCAATCCTTTACATTATCCATAGTCTCTAGCACTGTAGGTTTTATGCAATATTCATTCCCTTCTGACAGCTGTTTAGAGCCTGCTGTTTTCATGTGACATTTATTGCATGCAGAGGTCTCAGGATACGCATCCCTGACTGCTTAAAAAATCACAGCTCCCTACAAATTATATCCAGATCCTGGTCACTGCTGCTAAAAGCATGAAGACAAAGCAAAATCAGTTCTGTCCCCTGCCTTCCTTTCCTATTCCCCATTACACCATATGGATTCCCTCAAAGTGTAATGTGTTCCATTGCTTTTAGACACTGTGCAGAAACCAAAGCCAGGAATGTTTTTCTGTCCAAATATAGTCAGATGACAGTTCTCGCCTGTAGTCCAAACCAAATATCCGCACTTGAGAACCTGAGACCTCTAAAATTCAGCAGAACTGTGAAGTCACAGCAGCAGCGCTCTGCACTTCTATAAAAGCAGTCCTTTCAGGGGTTCAGGCTGCCTGATAAAGCATGGAGAATATTTTCAGCTATTGGAAAAGACAGAGGTAAAACTTTAGAGGTCTGACTAACTTCTTGCCCTTGGCACAGAGCAACACTGGCTCCCAGGAGGGAGTCTGGGGAGTTGTCAGAATTTAAACCTCTTTCAGATGCTTCAGATAAGTACTGTAGATTTGAGGACACTGATGGCTGCATCTGAGAGTCCTTTAAGCACAAGCATCTCTTGGGAAAGCCATGATATTCTTAGCCCAGGGCAGGGAACAGGGATGAAATGTCAACAGATGTGCACTCTGGTCCTAGTAATTCTTAAAATAGCTATAGAAGAGAGCTGTGCTTGAAAGTTCACCACCACAGTATCAACGAACTAAGTATAAACCTGAAATTTTGCTTTTTACCAGCGACACTGAGGATTCTGGCCAGAGCTTGAGCACCAAAGAATCCAGATGCACAGTGACTTTATCAGAAGCGTTGTTAGTGTGCACAGCATTAAGTTCATGTGTCTCCCTTAGCTCCACAAGTTGCATCTGTAAGTTCTGAATACCTCAGCATAAGAGCTTTCCTCATCTGACTCTCATTGCCATAATAACTGAGATTTGTCTTGGCCTTGCTGCTGAGCTGGTTTCCGAGCAAATAGTTGGCTTAAATTTTAAAAGTTTTGAAAGCATTCTGCAGCCAAGTGGTTTGGTAAAGTTGGATGCACAGGCACTGAATTTCCATGTGGATGCGCACAGTGCGTTCCCGACACACGGGGGCAAAGTGAACTACGTGCTTTCCAAGAAACCCTGCTGTCTCACTTCTGATCCATCGAGGTAGAACCTGCTTGCTACCTTGACAGGGAAGCAGGGTCCTAAATGTCACAGAGGTCATGAATCAAGTCTGCAGCTAAAGTTTCCCGTTCACCCACCACATGTGGTGCAAGAAGATAAATGACTAATGTACCGTACAGTCTCTTTCCCCATTCAGAATATTTCAATAACTCATGGAAAAGGGCTTGGCTGTGCTAACCTTCAGTAGCTTCATGAATACGTTTTTGGAAGCAATGAGGTCCTCAAGAATGTGCTTTTACTAAAGCTCTAGATACTAACTTGGGGGGGAGGGTCTGAGCCGAGATGTATTTTACAAAAATATTTACTTTCTTTACATTGGGACAAAGGAAATTCTTCGTTCCCTCAGGCTGTGTGGTTGTGTGAGTTCTCAATCTTTAAAACTCAGGTTCATGTAGTCATCTTGAGAAACAGTAAGGCTCTAACTGCGTGCTTGGAAGAGTTCAGGTTCTTGCTCTGCAAGATTCCATGCTTGGCCTCAGGCAAGTCTTCCCTGCAGCGAAGCAGGGTCTTAACCTGTAAGGTGCAGATAATAGTACTACCTTCCTACCTTCAAACTGATGTGAGATTCAATGCTCTGAGAGACTGTGAGATGCTCAGATACGCAGGCAAGTGGAGAAAGGCATATGTAACGGTGCGTAAGTTAAAATCTTTTTCAAACACTGCTGACTCTTTCTAGCCGTATGAAAGGTGGATGCACTTAATGCTGGTACGCAGTTCCGTGACTGAAACTCGGTGTTTTTCCAGAATAGCTCTTGGCTCAAGTTTTTGAGCCTCATTCCAAGGCAGGTTTTTCCTTCAAGACTCCCTTCTCAGTCTTTCTGCAGATGTGTTCTTGTCTACAGACTCTGACAGAAACTTGTTCAGGGGACTTGAGGCACTGGTACGTTTAGGAGTGTGTTGTTACCAATTTCTCACTTCATACTGTGGTCTACAGCTTAAACCACAAATGGAGGTGCATTTGCACCACTCTTTGGAGCTCCAAACAAAGCACTTTGAATTTCAGAGTGCTCACACACAGGCATGTTTCATTCTGCCGACTGTGCTACTGAGGAAGAGGTGTAACTATCCCTAGAAAGTTGCAGCTGACAGCTGAGATGAGCCAATATCTCGTACTGTTGACTCTGCTTTGGTCCGCAGGAGTTCAAGCCCTGTACCCTCGCTTCCATTCTTTCTCTTCCTCCTAATTCCAGCTTTCCTTTGTAATTCTACCCATAACTTCCTTCCATGTTACTCCTTATTCTGTCCTTCTCCTGGTATCTGAACAACTGCTGCGCTTTGTCCACTCTCTGCAGAAAGCATGTTTTTTCTTCGAGGGGGAGCGTGATGAAAATTGTGAAAGAAAGTTTTCACTAAATTGCACACAGAGGTGTTGATCATATTTATTCTGAGTTGCTTAAAAGCTTTATTTATTTATTTTTAAAAATACATTAAACTCATAAAATGTCGCAAGCTTGATTATGAACGAGGGGAAAAAAATAAAATTAAAACTTTTTTCATTATTAAAGGTGCAAAAACTTTCTGAAACCTTTCAAATGCTTTGGATATCCCCTAGGAATGTTTCATAGTGGCTGGCAACAGAACTACCCCCTCCCTGCCATTTGTGTGTGAAACTAGGAGATTGCAGAGTTCCTTTTCCTCTGTCTGGTCAGAGCTGTTTAGCTAAGGACATCCCACCTCAGGAGCATTGAGGTGGGACAAAAAAATGCAGCTATTTGTGAAAACCTGAGAATTTCTGAGTAAGCTTTTGAAAAAGCCCTGAATTTACTTCATGTCTGCAGCCTGGAGATGCCTTAAAGAATCTAACAGCTTAAGACAAACTGACCACTTCTCCAAGTCAGTCTTCCTGACGTGCTCAAGCTGAGGTACCCAAAATCAGTATGATTCTGAAAATGTCTTTCTCAGCGTGATAACCCCTTACTGGGTAGCTCCCAAGTACACAAGAAATTTGCAGGTCGCTTGCCAAGTCTGATGGAAGAGGGAGTTGATGTTTACTTTTGTCGGAGTTTGTCAACTCCCCGACCAGAATTTCCTAAGCAGAGAAGCCCTGCCTGCTGTCTCACAGCATCTCATTTTTCATTCTGCTCCTGAAGACAGTCCCTGACAAATGACAGCTCTTCTAGTGTTAAGCATCCCTAATGAAACATTCCAAGGGCATGATGCTGGCTTCTGGATTCCCTTTTTCTGCCCCCTCCCCCATTTTTTTCATTACATAAAGCTGACAACTGCAGATTTGTCCTGCTGATTATACAGTCAGTTAAAGAAAAGAGTTCATGTCCATCCCAGCTTGTTTCGCTTTCCTGCTTTTCCTCTGCCAGCCCAACTTTCAGCTGCAGTAATATGATACCACTTGGCAGAGGCTAAGAGAATCTTTGGCACATTGGAAAGAGACTTAATGTAAAGTCTACATTTTTTTATTTTTTTAGGGCTTTTTGAAACTCTAGTGATTCTGCACAACTTCAGCAGTAACTGCAGGGCTACTCACAAATGCTTCAAATGCAACTGTGAGCAAAAGGATTACCAATACATTCTGCGAAGAGAATGTCTTAGTATGTGTCGCATTTCCCTCTAAAAAGTATTAAAGAACGACATGGATCAAGTAGAACAACTTTCTGCAAACAGAAGGAAGAGCTTCCTCTCGGTTGACAAGAAAAAGAGCCATGGCTGTAGAACCATTGTGGGATTTTTATGCATATTCCCTGTGGTGGCTTTGCTGGCTATTGTGGGAGATCCAGCTGGAGCTGCAGTTCAGAAAAGTCAGGTAGGGGAAAGGATCTAATTCTCAAATGCTTGAAAGGGGAGTGGGGACATCAAGTATATGTGCATGTGTGTTCTTTTTAGAAGACGGATAAATTCAGGAAGCAATCTAAACAATATGTAAATAACGGTTAAGGCAATGGGATTAGTTTATGGCTGTTTGAGTCCCTTTTTGCAAAGGATACTAAAAGGTAATTATGCATCCAGCTAGAATCAGATTATTAGAGGTGTACGTGCAGCTTGCAGCCAAAGCGTGAGTGCACAATTTGGGTGGTTTTTCCTCAGAACTTTGGCTATTCTTCTAAGTAACTCTGCTTTCCCAGCCTAGTATGATGTGGCATGCATATATTCTGATTTCCATAGCAGCTGAGCTTTCCTAGGAACCCCAGAGGCAGGGCTCGTGGTCTGCAAGATCTAACCTGGGAGTTAATGCTGGACCTGCAGAAACTATTAGCTGATATGAATTCTCTTTCAAGGTCCGTCCATTAGCAAGATATACTGGGACAGAGTGGTCGGGGGAACTGTAGCAAGGCGCTGGGACTCTCAGAAGCTGACCTTAGTTTTTGCTTTTAGCTTAATTTTTGCTTTTAATTTTATGAGAAAACCATCTCCTCTAAGCGCTCGCACCCCCTCCTGCCGTTTGTGTTTATGAAGATCAAGGCAATGGCACCCCTTTTTTGCATCACAGGCTCAGGGCTCTTATTGATACGAAGTGAGAGAGTTACGTTCCTGTTTAGTTCATGAAAGGGGAACTGCATGAGGAGGACAGAGAGAGAGGGGAGTGAATTACACTCATTACAGCTCAATGAAGTTAATTAATGGTGGTCTGACTGCACCGGGCAAATAATGTAGAGCAGGGATGTTGACCAGTGTCTACCTCTATGTATGCTGGTGTCTATTGCAGTTGTTGAGAGAGGGTTGAAGCAGCTATCATTCTAGTACCTCCCAAGCTTTTTGAATGTTTGAGACCTTCACCCATAGTCGAATGGGTTTTCTCCTGGGAGCAGCCGACCTCTTCTCCAGTTCTGAGTACTCCCATAGTCTTGGTTCTTTGGCATCCTGACAGATCCTTTGATCCAAATGATGCTGTGAAATTTTTAACTAGGTCATTCTGTTTCCGTCAGAATTGTACATCTGAGCTGCACCATATGTGTGGTACCCCACCCTTCCCAATTCATTTTGCAACATATTCTTAATTAAAAGCATCCTGTTGCACCAGTGGTAGGTAGAACAAAGACTAGAGTAGAACAGAGACTGAGCAGAATGTTTGAGCAAGAGAACTGAACCCTCTGCAGCTTTCTTGATCTGGTGACTGGGTCAGATACCGGTTTCAGTGATTGGTGTTTGGCCCGAGTCACCCTTGCTTTGTTTTGTATTTTGAAGATAAGCTCAGTAAGGACACAGATTTTTGTTCCCCCCCCAGCTTGCTTGTTCAGCACTCATGGCCTTAGTGTTTTAAGCTCAATGGCCATAGAAAAGACAATAATTTTTCTTCCTCGGGGCTGCGGGAGTTTTCCATGTAGAAGGAAAAGCCAGCAGGCTGTTTCTGACTATCTGATTTTCCTCTGCTGATACCCAGGCTTTAAGAAAAGCCTTGGGATTTCATCCGATGTTAGTGGAATTCAATAGCCCCGTGGCAGAAGGGGAAGAATGGGCAGTGTCCATTACTCAGCCCGTGCTGCTTACAGCTCAGTGCGTTGTCGTAAACTGGAGACGGCACCGGTTGGGCTGTGAATTATAGAGGCTAGAAAGCAAATGCACTGAGTATTCTGCCGGCTTTGCTAAGGAGCAGTAGCATCTATCACAAGGATAGACAGCTACTGAAGAGTGTTAATACCTTGCCTCATCCCATCGTAAATTATCAGGTCTCCTGAGCCAGAGCCTGTGGACTGACTGCGAATTCACAGTACTAGCAATCCTGGGCTACTTCTGACTGATGCCAGAATGAATGTGCGGTCAGCCCCAGTACTGGCTTCTATTGGCATTGTATTGTGTTGCTTGTATTGTATAGGGATTGTAGAGAAAACAACAAAGGCAGAAAGGATTTGCCTACTTCTGCCTTACTTGAAAGAACTGCAAAAAAAGGGGAAATATCTTATCCTGTAATTATGAGCTAATCTTCTTCAGGCTTTTCTTACAGCTCCAACAGATCATTGATACACAGGCTAGTCGATCCTCCACCTGCCTGTGCTCCTCAGAAGGATGCAAAATTTTCCATTTCTATCAAGGAAAAATGGCATTCTCAGAGTAGAATCGGAGGTAGAAGCCACTGGAGGTGAATGGAGAGGGATAACAGCCAGTGTACTCACATCACACATGCCTTGGTGAAGAAGGGGCTAGGCCTTGCGCTGAGCAAACCAAAAAGTATGGGTTCCTCAGCCAGATCCCTTAATACAGCAAAGTAAGTGACAATGGTTAAATGGGAAAAGTGATCCCATTTCTCTCAAGACCAGATTGGCATCTGAAGACTCTTAGAAATGCGATCAAACACCCTGCCGGAAGCTTGCAGCTTAGAAGGCAAGGTATTAGTTAACATCTCTCTGTCTCATAGGTGATGTTCTATGGCCCTTGCATTCCTTACATTCAAAGACTCTGCTGATTTCAAATGGTGAGCCAGACTTCCAGCTGAGCTGGAAGAAAGACTGAAAGGCTGTCCTTCTAGGAAAGAAGGATACTGAGATTAGAACAAGATAGAAGGTAGTATGGCTCACAGACATGAGCAGAAGAGATGGGTTTCCTATTAGGATAGAGTCCCTCAGCCTTTCACCAGTAATGACTAGCTGTAGTCATGGAGAGATGCTAGTGATTTGGGCAGTATCTGGCAGCTGTTGCTTCGAGCTTTGTGTCTCTCTTTGCCATTTTGCTTGCTGTGAGACCAGGGGTTATGCTATTTTGACTCTAGAAGCCTCAGCTCTTCCATCAGTAAAATGAAGACAGCTCTTGCTTTCTGTAGAATGTGCTGTGAGGCTGAGCAAACTCCTACTGGTGCAGCTTTTTTAACATTGCCACTGTACATATTGCTTAGTGTCTTGGTGTCTCTGGACCAAAGATGATCCAGAGACAGGGGTCAGAGTCCTGAAGAGGGGAGGCAGAGAGGGTAGACTTCCAGAGAACCGTGTTGGGTCCCATTCTTTTACCTCTACTACTCAGGACTAAAAGGCTTTTAGAGTTTGAGTCAGACCTGTCACCAAATTTGATGTCTTTTACTGTGTGATGGCTTGAAATGTGCTCCAGGGTTTCCAGGGCTCCTGTTTACTTTGAAGGCATTTCAGATCCACAATGCAGCTTTATCAAGAGCTCTCTGCACAAAGGGTTGCCTGTCTCACTTGTCCAGTATTTAATTTCTGCTGTGGTGAGGCTGGAGAGCAATAGCGGAGTGAAAAGGAAATGAAGACTTTCCAGAAGAGCTGCAGGCTCGCTGTGGCCAGCAGCCTACTGAGGCCTCATTTCTGCTCCATCTGTGCTGCACTCCAAGAGGAGAGTGGAGTGGCTGCAGTGCCCTGTTCTGGAATTATGCAGCAGCTCAAGGGAGCCTACAGCACTGATCCTCTGTGATCCCTTGTTGAGGAGTGCTGTTCCCTTCCTTTCCTTGCATGTCTGATACAAGGCACATCCCAAGAACTCCTCACGGTATAGCCCCTCTTTTGCTCTGTCTTGGTTTTGTTCGGCACACTTGGAACAGGCATACCTTGCAAAGCACTGACTAGCTGATGCACTAGTCTTCTTTCCTGGACACCCGTAAGGGAGTACCAGTTGTGCTCCCCAGCCTCCAAATGTCCCATACCTGGTAGTTTTAGTTTTACACTGTTCAATCCTGCAGTCTCTCCCATCTCTTTCAACCGCCTGTTTTGTCTTTTAAGGAAGATGCCACATCACCTGCTCTTCATGGAGTGAGTGCCTCTGTTTTGCACAGTCCAGCTTTCCCACCTCGGCCTCCAGCACGGAGAAAACGATACACGATCACACCAGGGCACTTGAAATGGGACCACTTCAACTTGACCTACAAGTACGGACTTGCATTAGCCCTAAGAGTTAGCATTTTCTAAGTGACACTGGCGTCTCTGTTTTTCCTGCCATAGGTATAGATATTAACCATATGAATATTGCTAATCCATTTGCTAGGGAACGGATAGCTGCTAAAGCCATTTTAAAGTAGGAAGTATTTCTACAAATGCTACACCTCTCGCTTCGGCTGTGCATCACGTGAAGCATCATCACTGCATTAGAAGCTAGTAGCACATACAGCTGCTTGCTGAGGCTACTTTATAGTAAAACTAACTGTTCAGGGGAGATTCAGGCTTCAGACAGATAGGCTTCCCAGAACTAGGGACTTCCCTCAGAAGGTAGTGAATTGAATACCAACTCTGTCATGCTGGTATGTTTAAAAGAGCTCCATATGAATCTAAACCATCACTGAGGGGAATTGCTGTTGAAAGGTTCTGTGATTTCAGGAGGACAGAGCTCTGTTAGTGCTGAGTGCCTTTAGGAATCTTTCTCCCTGTTGTCTTTGGGAAAGGATGCCAACTCTTAGATTACTAACAAATAAACAATAAAAAGCCCTTGGCAATTCTAGGGTGAGTGAATGTTAACCCTAATATTTTCAGACACTTCTGCCAGGGAAAGTGACTGTCCAGGTTACTGATATCCAGCTGGATTTAACCGCTGCTCAGAACCAGCAGCATTTCAACAGTACCATACAGCCGTAGCATGGTCTGGTTTTGATATGAGGGAGCTATGTAAATGTGCGATGCCAGTGCTACTTCCAACAAGCAGGCTGTTCAGAGCCAAAGTTGATGGAGTCCTATGGATTTTCATGGTGAACTGTTTCTTATTGCTGTCTGGCTCTACTGCTACTGCAGGCATAAGGCCACGTCAGTCCTGTTTGGTGTTCAGCCTTGAGGCAGCTCTCTCCCTGTCCAGTGTGATGGGCTGTGGTGGCCACATCCTGAAAAGATGCTTTTTCTCTCTGGGAAAATATTAATGGCATTTTGGAATGTGTTTCAGCAGAGTTTGCATGAGTTCACACAGAACAAGGTTCAGGTAATTCACTTAGAAACAATTTTGTAAGATGAGCACTGGCAGGTAGAATCAGACTGTCACGGTAAACCTCAGACTAGCAGGAGTCCTGGAGGTTTGACTGAAGAAAGATCCGTTTTTTCACTCCTGGCTGAGAGTCTGCACCTTCCTGGAGACACGGGAGTCAAATCAGGGTTGTTTTCAATGCCTTATGCGATTACAAAGGTCCTTTTAATGTGGCTGCTAGCTCCAGCCACTCCTGATTTTAAAGTGCAGAGCAAGCCCCAAACCTGACCTCTCAAGAGAGCTGCAATCACTAAGTGTTAAACTGCAGTGGCTCGCATGGCAGGTCACAGTGCATTTCAGAAAACACTTGAAAGTGGCCTCTGGCAGCAGCAATGTGTGTTACAGCTTTTTCTTGGCGTTGGGCTGAGGACGTCGTTATGGAGCTGTGAGGGTCTTTCTCACACTCTGGCTCTGTGGAAAGCTGACCAGGCTCTGACTGTAATGGGTGGGAGAGTTTTCTGTTACCAACAGATAAGGAAAGGAAAGCATTTTGAGCTATGTTGCAGTGGGTTTGGCAATGGAGGTAAGGAGCGAGGAGGGCAAGTGGGGCAGGCAGAAGGACAGCAGCAGTTGTGTCTGTCTTGGGAGTTCTGCACTAACCCCAAAAGATAATTTGCAAGGTGTGGCTGATGCTGCAGTTATCTCTAGGTAGCTGTTACACCATCAGTTACACAGAAGTCTTGTTGTAACTGTCGCTAGCCTTATTTGCTCGATGTGCGGTGGTGGTGGTTGGTTGTTGCGTTGTTTAGTGGGTGATGCTGCAGTGCTGATCAGCACGTGTTGACTTCCCGGTGGACAGCAGGGGTTAGTTCTGCCTGTAAGCCCAGACAAAGAACGAGGGGCTGGCACGAACCCGACTCCTTCACACTGAGCAGAGAACGCATATCTCCCTTTACGCTCATCCCAAACAGGCTAAGCCTCATGACACTCTTAATTGTCCAGGTTTACACTCATTAACAGCCTGGCTTGATACGAAACCTTCTGCTCCCTTTAGGATGTGCTGGGACGAAGGGAGAACATAAACAGCATAGCTAAAATACAACCAGAGGGGATAGCAGAATATACACAGCTTTTCCCAATTGCTACGCTTCAGGCAATTTCCTGAAGGCAGACCTTCTTTTGGGACAAGGTAAGTTTCTAGGAGCCATCTGTACATTTCCATGGTTCTGCCATCCTGCACCAGTAGTTTTCTTACAGTTCAGCTGTATCTGTGGCCTAAGCAAAAACCTCTCTCCAGTCTCTCTCCCAAGTGATGAGATTTTTCCAAAGGAAATAACTTGTCATACCATCAAGCCTTGATAGCCTTTGGAACCCTCTTTTAAAAGGTCTGCCTGAGAGTATTATAATTCAGTGTGTGCACATACATTGTAGCCTAAGTGTTATGAATAGGACTTACCTCGTCTGCTGCTGAAGTGCAGTTGTTTCCTCTTCTAGAAACACTGCACAATGAGAGATGTTAGGATAAAAATGGTTTTCCAAGAGAACCTTGTCTAAAATGATGTGCTTGAGGAGGGACAAAAGCTGTAGTCCAGAACATGTGATTGTAAAGAATACCAGTAATATATTAGTCCCTGCAGGGGTTTTATTAAATATTCTTAATATCCAGCTCGGGCTACTCCTGTTTTGAACTTACTAGAGTGAATGAAAAGACTTGATTGTCTGATGCAGCCTTGAGAGCCTTCAGCTGATGTTGGAGAAGGCAACAGCATTTTCCTGAAGTTGTTCTGTGTTTCTACAGAATCCTCTCCTTCCCAAGAAACCTCATAAATGCCAGAGACACACGCAAGGGACTGGCGGCTGCATTCCGAATGTGGAGTGAAGTTTCGCCGTTCAGTTTCAGGGAAGTGCCACGCCATGTAGCTAGCGACTTGAAAATAGGTAAGGCTGCATGGACTCCCGGACTGACGGAACACTCTTGTGTATGTTAACTCCACGAGGGACTTGTAGAGCTTCAGTATGTAAACCAGGAGTTTGGAGGCAGGAGACAGGCCTCCTTTCCTGTGTGGACTTGGCAGAGCCTCTTGGACAAAGATTGGGGCATTGATTGCCCTTAGTCAGGTAGAGAAACTATTAGTTGCTCTAAGGAGATACTAATATCATAATTAACACTTTCTGTGAATCTTGCAGTTGGGAAACTTTGGGTATTTGACGAGAATTAACCCTCAAAATCTGCCACTGGGACAGGATTATCTCTGTTCCACAGGTGGGGAAATTGAATATTGAAAGGTGAAATGACATATCCAAGGTCACACAGAGCCAAAGAGCAGGTGACGGATTCCAGCTTGTTCATGGTTTTGGTCTCTCTTCTCTTGATCCCCTTGAAGCACCACCTTTTCTCTGTCTTCTCTCTCCTCCCCTTCCCCTGCCCCTGTATCACTGTTCCTTCCTGAGTTTCTCAGGTCTAGAAAAACGTTAGTGCTGAGCCATTATCTGCTTAGTCTCAACTCCAGATGTAAATTCTTCCTGGGATTTATGGTCTGTGTGAAATAATTATTTCCTGTGCAGATGGCAGCAATATTGAAATAACCAGCAGCTTTACCATTGTTTCGCAACATGCTCTTCTCTTGTGTTGCATGACGCTACTTACAAGCACATGATAAGCCTTCCCAGGGGCCTGTCCTGCTGCCACCCGTGAGCTCCAGGTGGCCCAATTCCAGTGGACGCAGGGTACACTGTGATGCTGCCGTGACGCTAAGCAGCAAGACGGAGAGCAGCTATGACTAACTGTTTATTTACATTTTAAATGGAACAATCACATCCTGGGGTTATCATGTCATTGTCTAGCTTCTCTCCAAAAAAAAAAATTTCCATGTGGTGTTGCAGAAGGAGCTCAGCATTTCTTTCTGAAAAGTAGACTCATTTGTGTCTGTTGGAAACAGCTCTAAATCCAGGGTTGTCACAGGGCTGAGTAGTATAGTTTGCATCATTCCTGACAATCGTTCTGCATTTATTTTTCCTTGTGTGGCTCTGTAGGCTGGAAAAAACGTGGGATACCATAAGAGATTTTTTTTTAATATATATATATATATGTATTTTTTTTTTTTTAGCAAATCACAAGTTTACAGATGTCTGTCCTGGATGGGCTTACCTTGCTAGATATACTAAATCTGCTGGTTTTTTCACAGGTTTCTACTCTATCAATCACACAGACTGTCTGGAGTCTCTCATTCACCACTGCTTTGATGGAACAACAGGGGAACTTGCCCATGCCTTCTTCCCACCCAATGGGGAAATCCATTTTGATGACCATGAGTATTGGATATTGGGAAATACACGGTTCAGCTGGAAAAAAGGTAACACGTCTCAGGGGTTACATAATTAACGCCTGCAGGATTTAGATTTTAGTCCTTGCTCTGTGGTTTACTTAGTACGGGAAAGAGACAACAGAAATGGTTGTGATTTTCTGCAGTTTTGGAAGACGTTCGTCTTGCTGTCATGTGACTGAACTACTCTAAGGGACCGTGTTTGGTGGCAGTGCCATTTCTTTCTGTATAGTTCGGTGGACTTACTCGATAGTTCAGACACATACTCAGTAATTACATCTGGCTTCTGCCCAGGCAGGTGCGTCTCGGAGAATGCTACATGTTTTAGTTTTCCTGGGTCTGCAGTAATCTTTGGGTTTGTGGGCACCTAAAAATGTCTCATGTTACTTACGGCTTGGTGTTTTTTCTTCTTGTTTTTTTAAGCACTGTCAAAACTAAACTAACTTTAATTTAAAAGCAGATGGTCCCTGACTAACTAGCAAATTCAGTTCATACTATATGATCAACTCAGTACTTTTTTTTGAAAGTAAGATATTTTGCTTTTCATCAAATAAAAAGAGAGGAGGAGGGATTTCAGGTGACCTAGAGGGACTTCTATCCTCCTTGCTTTCCAAAGCACAGCAACAGATAAGATCTAGGGACAAAGACCTAGAAGAGATGAGTTTCAAAGCAAGAATGTTAGTATCTATTAGTTTATTATGCAAGATACCAAAACAGGTGTCAGTAATAACACCTCTTGTGAGTCAGCCTTCAGTTAAAATCCATCTCTGCTGGAAGCAAGCTTCAAGATGCTACCGAGAAATTTGAGTTTGACCTATAGACTACGGGGGATGCAGAGGTCAATCGGAGGCTTTTTCAGACTGGAATACTCCAGCTAGCAATCTCGTTCCCAAACGGCCATTTCCAGTTGTGGCTATGGGCTGTGGGAACAACGTTAGCAGAAAGCTGACAAGAGCAAGTATTGCGCAGAGTACTTGCTTCATTTCAAACATTGATCTTCCAGAGCAGTGTTCCTGTAGTCTGGTAGAGTGGCTGTGTGTTCTGCTGTTTAAATTCAGAAGCATGTGGACATAACTGGCTAATCTATTTGCACCCAAGCAGCTACAGAGAAGATGAAACTGGGGCAACCTTTCATAAGACCATACTGCCCTAGTGCTAAAATACTTCCTCTGGTTTTACACCAGGATTGGCAAATGTACTTTACCACACAAAGCTGGCTGTTTTTCCATTTCTCTTCCAGGTGTTTGGCTTACAGATCTGGTACATGTAGCCGCTCACGAAATAGGACATGCCTTAGGACTCATGCACTCCCTAAACCCCAATGCCCTGATGCACATCAATGCCACTTTGACTGGGAAAAAGACCATCTCTCAAGATGAAGTCTGGGGAATTCACAGACTTTACGGTAAGGAAGCCAGGGTTGTACTCTGGGCTCCTCTGTATAAAGAAGTGTCAGTTGGATCCTGTGGAGCTCTCATGGTGGTAGACCCTCATCATTTGGCAAGACTAGGCTGTAAGCCAGCAAGCAGTAGGAATCTTACTCCTTTTGATGCAAAGTAAAGCGAGAAGGCTCGTGTAGCATTGTCCGTTTCCAGCACTACTAGCTTCAAGTGTGATAGACAGGAAGCTGGAAGCCTTACAGACTTCACGCTTCCACCTCCCCCGATGGCAGTTCTGAGAGGACTTTCAGAGGGGTCAGTCCACGGGGTGTCCGCAGACACCTCTGAGCAGAGGCATAGGCACTGTGTGTATTCTCATAGGCCTAGCTCGTTATGCCCCAGCCCAGCAACCAGCTCTGGGCATGGACTCTTGGGGCCTTCTGTGCTGTGGCTTATACAAGAATAAAAGGCTGATTTTAGCCGTGGAGAGCCCCAACAACTCGCACTTGTACATTTACAAGCATCAGGTGCGCAAAGGGAAGCTCAAGTACAAAGGAAGGGGGAAGGCAAACAGCTGTTAATTCTTCTTTTGGCTGGACTCAGATGTGTTAATAGAACATGACAAAACTCTCCGCAAACCAAACTGGCCGTGGCAAGATTCTCCTGAGCTCCAACACGTTTGCCTGCTGCTCTTCAAACATCACCTAGTGTAGGACTTCAAAATAGCAACTCTCTTGAATGCTACTGCATGAAAGTAACTCAATACCTGGCACCCTGCTCTATTTACTGTGCTCCTGTTTTAGATTTCTTCCTGTCTCAGCTCTACCACTTACATTGAACAATCTGATTTAGGCAAAATGTCAATTTACTTCTCGGAATCCCTCTAATGCCTTGTCTCCTTCTGTTTCAGGATGTAAAGACAGATTATTTATGTGCCCATCATGGGCACAAAAAGGTTTCTGTGAGAAACGCAGGAAGCTGATGAAAAAGCACTGTCCATCTACCTGTGACTTCTGCTACGGTATCTCTTCTTCTGGGGTTCCTGGTGGGGTTTGCACAGAGGGAGGAGGTCGAGAGAGGTTGAAGTTTAAGCAGTGTTAGCTGCAGGGAGAGGCAGGATCTTAATTCCACACTAGAAATCGGTGGCTGCAAGCAACTAGCCCCATCCAGCTCTCATGAGAAGCAGAGCAGAGATGGCCTCTTACACATTGGAGCCAAGATCAAGGCTTGGAAATTGGCAATAGGTTTTATGTTTAAACATTTTTGGGTCTAAAACATTAAACTGTCCCATTCTTCTCTAGTTTAACTGAAGCAAGGATAGGGAATTTCTGAAAACACAACTACTCCGTGTGCCTCAGACTGCTCCCCTTTTGGACCCAACTGAGGAAGTGAGATGCTGATGAGTAAATTCAGAGATAAGAGATGCAGTTCAGTTCCTGATGCAGTGATGGGACATAAACAAGACAAATGACATCTCAAGCACAGCTGGACTTGAGCTGCTCTGCAGAAAAAGAGATAAAGTATGTTAATCACTTTATCTAGTCTCTCAGTTTTATGAATACAGATCAGGGACTAATGCAGGATCAGGTCAAGTTACTGCAGCTGTGGAATTAAGCTTCAGATAAATACCTACTGACCTTAAGATGTGCTGCGTAACTAGTTCCTCTCTCTCCAGTACAGAGGTATTTTTTTTAGACCAGATTAATGCAGAGATGCAGTCAGATAATTACAAACACATGTGTTCTAGGGGACTGTTCATATACTGAACGAATACTCTTACATATATATGAAACAGGCAAGTTGATTTTTATCCATACCCGTCAGGTTACACGCCACAATAATTGTTATCTTTGTATATGAATAATGTTACAAGTCCATCCAAGGATTGCTCAGGAGGCATTTTTAAATTAATACTTTTAAGGTTCCTTAGGTGATGATGATGTAATTCTGTGAAAGTGTTTTGGAATGACTAAAGCTTGATAATGAGAAATGCTAACTTTTGCCGTTTCTTTCTCTCACTTCTGATGGATAGAATTCCCATTTCCAACGGTCCCCCCTACTCTGCCCCCACCAAGGACAAAAACCAAGACTGTTTCTGAAGGCAGGAATGTCACCTTCCGCTGTGGACAGAAGATAATTCATAAAAAAGGCAAAGTTTAGTAAGTGCTCCATCATTTATTCTAGTCCTTTAGGAGACTTTCCAGCTTACATACCAATTACGGAATTATGACAAAACACTGTAAATAAGAATGCAGTTTGTCTTCTGGAGCACATCACTGTCTCATTCGGCACCCAGAGTAGAAAGGGAGGTGGCTGGCTAACTGTGAGAAGGGAGCGTGCAAATACTGCTCATAACATTGCAAAGCATTTAGTCTGAAAGCAGAGCTATCAGAAATGAGCATGCTGAGTTGAAGAAGGATAAAATCCCATTGATAGAGGTCGCACAAAGATAATTCTTACCACCAAGTGACATTCCCTGGTGCCATATTCTGCAAAAAAATAGTGTCTTAAATTTGCCCTTTCAATTAATAGTTTGTTAGCTCTTACTAACGTACGCTCTTACTAACATGTTATTTCTGGATGTATCTAAAAGTGAGAGAGAGATGGCCAAGGACCCAAATTCCCACCAACTTTCAGCAAGATTCAAGCTCCTAAACTACTCACTCAGGATAGTGCCCTAAAATATACAGTAAAACTTAACCTTGTTTTGTTGAATTCCCATCTGTGCTGTACAGTTACTGAAGCAAAACTTACCAGGAAAAAGAAGAACCAGTAACACATATTGCATTGTACTGGACACTTTGTAATTTAATTTCTATTCTTTTTCTTATGACAGCTGGTATAAAGATAAGGAGCTTCTGGAATACTCATATCCAGGTTACTTATCCTTAAATGAGGATCACATGAGCATCATTGCAAATGCAATTAATGAAGGAACTTACACTTGTATAGTAAAGAAAAAAGAAAGAATCTTGACTACTTATTCCTGGAGAATCAGACTGAAGCACTAACGAGGCCCTGGAATCAGCACTTCAATTACTGCTAGTTCTGTTCCAAATTTGAAATGTTTCTTTGGCATTTTCTATTTAATCTCCAGTAGCACAACTGAACTAAATCAGTTGCTTCCACACCTTGGGCAAAAGAGACTCAGACTTGATGACTGGAAAGTAAAACTTTTCCAAATTAGTTTTAATGATAAAGAATTTATCAAGTATGTGCTGTACAAACAATTAAAAAAATTTTTTTTAAAGTGTCAGATTGTGCAGTTGAACTGTGTGGATCGCTGTGGACTGCTGAAAAACAAGAACTTAACTCTTCATGAAACAAATGGATGAACAGATTGATGGCTCGGCTATGTTGCAATGGAGACAGAGGTACTGTGGAAGGAAAAAGACCAGTTATGCTCTGTAAGTGTTTTGCTGTTATTTTTTTTACATCCTGGTGCATAGTACTAGAAGAACTTATGAAAAAAGCATAAGACCTAATATTACTTTTTCTTGTCAGAAGGAAGATGTAGGGTCACAACAAACCCTTTCTAATTATTCCATTCCACAATTTTGCCATGTTCAGTTCAAGTACCCACAGAACATCTTTTTTCTCCCCACCACTTTCCTGTGGTTTGTATTTATTATTTGTGTAATCTTATTCCAATATACTATTTACCTCCATCAGCAGCTCCTCGTAACTTGTCCTTTAGGTGTCTGATCAGTAAGCCTCGACTCCTGCAGTACAGATGAGGTAACTTCCATCACTGTCCTCCCCTGGTCACCCAAGTGATGAGGTAAATAAGCCATATCCACAGGAAAATAGCATTAGTATGGGTAGGCAAAGCCTAATGCACTCCAATGTCTACAGCAGGGGAGCATTCATTTGCACAGTTAGGAATCCCTGACAGTCATTACGTTTAGCGAGATCCTTATCCAGTACTAAAGCAGCCTACATTGCTCTTTGCTTAGGTTCATCCATTTTTAGTTGTCCTCTTAACCTCTTGAAAACAAGCCTCTTCCTACTTAAAAGCACCAACAAAACGGCAAAGCATCTCGCACACTGCGGCATAGGTCAGCAGTCTAGGAGGACCCCTGTATTAGAGCAGAAAGGCTCTATCAGCAAAATTCTCCTCTGTTCTAGGACAGCAAAAAGTGCAAGAGAAAAAAAAAAGAGACTAATAATTACTGTTTGTTTGGTACAACAGCAATGACTGTAATTTTACTGGCAGACGTTTAGCACGAACTCTGCACGTCTTCGTTTAACAGACCAGAGCTGCACCATAGGGATCTGAGCATCTCCTCTCAAGGCAGCTCTGTCGTTGGGAGTTGGAGAAGAAAAGCAAGAACAATGAGCTGATCATTGCAGTCGTCAGTAGTTATCGTAAGGGGATGTCAAAACTTTAACAAAAGCTTAATCTTTGGGTGGATCCAGATTCCTTCATCTCACTTATCACTACAGCATAGCACTGTCTTTTAAACATACCATTTAGGATTACCGAGTTTCATACAATTTCTCTGAGTACCATTTATTTACATTGCATAACCTACTGCTATCTCTGTACTGCTCTCCAACTGTCTGATGCTTCTGGCAGGCAGTGTCCACACTGGAATTTGGGGAATAAGTGAAGGCGCAGGCAAAAGTGGCAGCAGAGGCAGGGGTAAGCACCGATAGCTAAGGATCTGCTTTGCCACAGCTATTCTGTGAGAAGTTAGCCACCTTCAGAAACTGGATGTTGACCTGAAGGCCAGTGGAGAAAGAAGCCAATGAAATAAATTGCAAGCTTTAGACAGACACCAGGCCACTACCCAGCTCTGCCATTCATCCAGTAAGCCAATGCCACAATCAGCAGGGCTCAGCGCTCCAGTATGCAGACCTGCTCTGTCTGCAGTTTCAAGGCTACCTGGTCACCGAGCAGAATCATCAAGAAACTCGGGAAACAAACACTTGGATTTTCTGTAAAGAAGCCAAGAAAAGAATTAAGCTTTCCTCATCCTCCTGCAGAGGCACTGTTTTCCATTTGCTGAAATGGAAAACAGTTCATAGGTTTGCCGATATCCTCAAAGCAAGCAACAAAACTTTCTCTTAGATTACAATTTCAATTTATAAAAATAAACCAAAAACAAAATAAGTACCTAAACTACACCAACCCTGTGATTCCACTACACACTCATGCACTGGAACTTCTCTTTTAAATACTCTATTTCTGCAATTTTTCCACACTGGCATCACTCATTTAAAAAGACCTAATTATTTCAAACTACCTGGATATTAGGATACTGTTCCTGGTGAAATAGACCTTAACTTATTTTCCCCTCTCCTTATTTGCCTTTACAAAGCTTGTGTATGATTAAAAGCAAACAATTCTCCAAACAAAACTCCAGAGTTGTTAGCCCATGTTGGAAAGAATGTCTTCTACCTGTACACAAAGCACCTGTCTATAAAGTTAGTATCAATGATCTTAGCTGGTAAAGCGCAGTTGGCGTTTCAGTATTGTTATGCCCCTTCACTTCTCTCAGACTCATTTTGCATGAGTAAGCAAGCTTTTACCATCACCGTTAGCTGAGAGTACAGCATAGTATAAAACTTAAAAAATGCATCTTTGCATCAACAGTTAAGCCCAGGATCATCAAAGGCAAGCACTCTATGCAAAAATAGACAATTGAGACAAAATAAAAGCTGAGAGCAGTAACCGAACAATATTGCACCACTCAGGGAGAGCGGGTATTTATTTCCCTTCTACAAAAAAAAACCCTGGAGTTACACATATCTCTCATAACCATATTAAATTTCCATTGCAATTCTACTATTAGATTTTCTTTGTTTTACTAAAACTATCCCAGCTTAGATGAATAATCCTTTTTGTCAGGACCATGGATCTCCCAGTGATGCCCACACTGGCTGCAAGAATGCCAAGGAAGCTAGGAAGGAAATAATTCACAGAATGCAAGAGGCACAGCACAGCTTGAAATTCAAAATATGCAGTCATGTTCTAATCCTTTAGGGCTTAGCACAGGCCATGGCAAAATGGCTTTCCTTTCCTGTACTGTGGAATGTACAGGACCAAACAACCAAACCTGCTTTACAATGGGTTCTTGATCTCCACCTATGAGGAGTCTTGCTAAAATCACGCACGCTTCAGTTACAAGACTAGTAACAGAGCTGTTTCTCCTTCAGTACTAGGCCATCAGTCAGGCCTAAAGAGAAAATAGTTCTGCATTCCTCCACAGAAACACACACCCACAACCCTACTGTTTTCAAAATTTACCACAATATTAGTACATTCCAGTTCCAAGGCCTTTAACCAGAAAAACTCTTTAAAATGCACTGAAATTGATAGAATGTTTATAATTTAAGTTAATCCTTACTGGACTAGTGCCCAGTTCTGACCGCATGAATACCCCAGTATCTTCCAAATCTTCCCAGAGAAGAACAATAGCATTATAAATTAGAGACTCAGAAGGCTGTGATACTCCAGTATGATTCCTCTGGTCTTTTATCTTACGAGAAAAGACTAGAATATGGCATTATACAATCAGTAAAGATAAGCTCTTCATTTTATGGAAAAAGGGCATATTTAAAAGAACTTTCTATAGACAATAAAGTTTCAAGTCTCCATATTACATCTTTTGGATTTATAAAACAATAGAGTACTTCTTTTGCACCAGTGCCACTGTAAATACATGTAGACAACACATCAAAGAGTGTTCAGCTCAGTAGTGCACCCAAAAATATTGTCAGCGAGTATCGAGCCCAACCCAGCCTAGCTCTCTCCAAGGCACATGACAGGAAAGAAACCTCAGAACTGCTGGGTTTTTTCCCTAATTAGACTCAGACACATACAATTTACTTAAAACAAGAAAACAAACAGTCTGGCCCAGGCTGACAATACACTGTAATAGTGTCAGCAGAGATCTGGGGGCAGCAGGGTGAATAAGTTTCCACTCTAGAAGATTTAATGCCACCAACATCCAAGTTTGCTGTATGTGAAGTAATGAAATCCTTCACACTGTTAAACAATTAAAAATGTATTTTAATTCTACAAATTTACAAGGAAAAAAACAAAACAGAACAAAACCCAACAAAAAAAAAGATAAAAATAAACCACAAACTCTTCCAGGATTGTACTTCAAGTTTTCCTTTGTCAAATTTTGTAACGATCCTTGGCTTTTCAGGTTAATTCCAGTCCTCTAATGGAATGCAGCAGTTATATTCCACACCCAGCCAAGAGTCTTTGAATCTGTGACGACATTTGACTTTCCCTCTGAAAAACATCTAGTCTCCCTGACGTGAAGAACAGAACTGGGGCACTCAGAAATCCACTCACGTGAATGGTTCTCTTGTTTGTTTGTTTTTTTTTTTTTTCACCGTTCATGTTGAGTTTAAAACTTGAGGCTGAAACCAGGCCCTGCAGCAGATGCTCCTTGATTTGTGGTGGTCAGATGAAAACCTGTGTCTTTCAGATCATCATCACCCTGTGAAAAGCAAACACAATTCATTTCTTAGTAAGTGTCTGTGCAGATGTGTTTACCTCTCCAACACAAAAAATCTAAAAAACAACAACAAAAAGTATCTTTAGGAGATGAGAAATAAATGTATGTGTCATAGCTAAGGACGATGCAGAGTGTTATTCATGATCTTTAAACATTGCTATTTCAAAAGTTATCTTTTCTAAAGACATCTCAAGTGTATTCCTGCTTTGTATACCTACTTTTGACTGCACAAATAAAAGACGAAAAAAAATTGTGAACACACTGTATAAATAAGTGTAAACTACGCTTATTCAGCATCTGATGAAACACTCTGCATATCCTCCATGTCAATTTTTATACCCTCCATAATCAAGGCTGAACAAACTTTTAGGCTACTTCATCTGTTAAATTGGGCACAACTGCACAGCGCCATTTCATGTATGCTGAGACATGGAAATATAATTAAGGCACCTGAGACTGTAACATACTTACAAGGGCATCTCTTTCAGCCAGTTTTTTTTCAAAATGGGCAGCACAATCCCCACAGATAGAAAGAACAGCAGCTTTCCCTTTTTTGACGAATTCTCCAAATATTGGAAAAAGGAGAGTGTTTCTATCCAGAAGATACACATAACTTTAACCGGGCTTTTTTTTTCCCCAAAAAATAAATTTGTGGCTTTGAAAGCTTAGTTGAAAGTGTAAGACAATGTACACTTTCAAAAGAAAAACTGTTCTGCACTGTGATAAAACCAGGCATCATTTCTTTC